AGAAAATTAGATTTACTTCTAGAGATTTTTAATTGTCACTATTTCTTGTAAAAATTGTTAATTTATTCGTTTTGTTTTTTTTAACCGTAAAGAAATTGAGGTAATTGCAGACAAATTTAGATCTCAAGCAAATTAGAACTAAAACTGTTAACACTCGACGAATAAAATAAAAACTTTGGATAAAAACAGTTGAACTTATGGGAATTGACGAATGCTAAGGGCACAATCGTTCGTATCTTGTGTTAATGTTTAATTTTGTCGCAAAAAATCTTAACTGTTTTTATTTGAGTTATTGTAAAATAAATTACAAACAAGAGTACTAGGTTGCTTTTATGCAGTGGCAAATTTTATGCAGTGGCAAATTTTATGCAGTGGCAGAGCAGCCGTGGCGCAGTGGTAGCGCACTTGCTTCAGAAACATAAGATCCGTGGTTCAAACCCCACTTCTGGGCAAGTTTTGCGACATCGGTTGGGAAGGAGGCGTGAACTTCCTATTAAATGCTCTTCCGCGGTGCTCTGTGATAAGACCGTAAGGACTTCTTGGGGCACCTTAATCAACTTAAAAAAAAAAAAAAAAAAGGTAAGACTTGTTGGGGCCCGGGGCTTCTTTTGTTTTTAGAGGCCTTTTTATGGGCCAGAGCCTGAAAATGACTAAAAACAAAAGGCGTTAATTTAGCTTATTAGTATAGTAGTAGTAGTAGTAGTAGTAGTAGTAGTAGTAGTAGTAGTAGTAGTAGTAGTAGTAGTAGTAGTAGTAGTAGTAGTAGTTGTAGTAGTAGTAGTAGTAGTAGTAGTAGTAGTAGTAGTAGTAGTAGTAGTAGTAGTAGTAGTAGTAGTAGTAGTAGTAGAAAAATTGCTGCAACAGGTTTCCCTGTATAACCTACAGGTTTTAGCAGTTTTATCTACTTCATACACAAACTTTATTCATATCAATATATAAAAATTTACAATAAGATATATAGTATGAAGTATAAGTTTGTACTTTATTGTTTTTCCTTTTTTTTTTTTTTTTTTTTTTTAGTTATAATCTTGATACTTATGCGGATTATTTGAAATTTCTGCATCAAGCTTAACCTTGAAACTGTTAACTGATGAAGCGCATACAACTTCTGACGGCAATGCATTCCAATGATTCACTATTCGATTAGTACAAAACTGGTGCCTTTGCTCGCAATTTTGAACATATTCTCTAGTCATTTTTAGATGATGTCCTCTAGTTTTTATTTTATCTGACTCCCCAACTCGAAGGACATGGGGTTCACTCCATGAGACAATGTCTATATTGTTAATAGTTTTATAGGCCTGTATCAGATCTCTCCTAATGCGACGGGTTTCTGAAGACGTTAAGTTTAGTATAATCAGACTTTGTATGACATATGACGGTGCGAAGGTATTATATTATATTCTACCCTCTATTCAAAATAAATCAGAACAGATATCTAACCAGATTTTCAAATAACAGTTACATTCAACCCAAAAGGTATTTTGCGGCGACTGAATTTTCAATTTCTACAAGAGGACCAAAATTATGGAATAAAATATTAACAAATGAACTTAAATCAATTGCAACGCTTGATGAGTTTAAAAACAAATTGAAGCAAAAACTATTGATGAACGATGAAACGCTCAGCTTTTTCTGAAGTATTAATGATTGCTACAAATAAGTAATTAGAGGTTTGTCATTATCAGCTTGACGATCTTAGAAAGAATCGTGTCACTTGTTACTGATTCATTTCTTCTTTTATAAAAACTTATGATTTATAAAAATTCTCCAGATAATTTAAGGTATCTGCTGGTGTAAAAGGAAAGCTTCAGGATTATGCGTATTTGCCTGCATGCTTTTTAATAATAGAGTTTTTATTATGCTAAACATTTTTTCTTTTTTTTCTTTCTTCAAATTTGTATTTAAATTTTTCATAACCAATACAAAACTAAAAAGTTAAAGTTAAAGAACATTAAGAACTATTATTTTTATTTATAAAATCTTAAGAAAGTGTTTTATATTAAATTGTGTTACGTTTTTTTTTAATTTATTACGCTATTTTATATTTACGGTATAGATTAAGGAGCTTGGTGATAAGACAAACTATGTCTTCTTCTTGCCCCTGCTATTTGTATATATGTTATGCTTTATGACTTGTATAAATTTATATGGTAAAAAAAAAAAAAAAAAAAATTAAACAGGTAACTCTTCTTTGTACTTTCTCGATTTTGTCAATGTCTATTCTTGATGATGGATTACTGGCTACTACCGCAAATTCCAGATGAGGTCGTACAAAGGTTATATATAGAATTTTAAATAGTTGCGGAGTCATGTGACTGAAAGTACGATACAACATGCCTAATACACGGTTAGCTTTATTGGTTGCAAAAGTTGAATTGTTATGCCATTTTAAGTCTGGCGTAATCATGATGCCTAAATCACGTTCGACTAAAGTCGATGCTAGTTCGACACTGTTATTGTCATTAGCTGGCATTGAGTAGACATAAAAGTTGTTTTTTTTACCTATGTGCATGATTTTACATTTATTAAGATTAAGTTTCATTTTCCAGGTTTTACACCAATCGGCTATGTTGTAGATATCAGTTTGAAGCATTTGTGAAGCTAATGGGTGGTCTAAACGGGCCAGCAGTTTAGTGTCATCAGCATACATTTTACATGGATGGTTAACAATATCGGATATATCGTTCACAAAAATGATAAAGAGTATTGGACCTAATACGGATCCTTGAGGAACGCCACTAAAGACCTCAAGCCACAAGGAAACATAATTGCCCATCACGATTCGTTGAAAACGCTGGTGTAAAAACGTCACACAAGCTTTTTTATTGACAAAATCATGTTGATTTTTTGAAATAAGACTATGTTCGACTAAATGATTAACCATAGTGTCACTTAATATTTTCTCCATCACTTTACATGCAACTAATGTTAAAGATATAGGGCGGTAATTGCCTTGGTCGAGTCTACTTCCGTATTTTTACAGTGGTGTTACATTAGCTTTTTTCCATACTTCAGGACAACACCCACTATCTAGCGACTTCTGAAAAATTGTGCATGAAGGTATTGAGAAGCTGTCAGAACAATTCTTCAGTACATATGCGCTTACACCATCCAAACCAACGGTTTTATCAACTGATAAATCGCTCAGCTTGTTTTTAACCAGATCTTGCGTTATTTGCGAGTATTTGCAGATGGCTTCAGTTCGTTTTATAAAATATGGCAGTTCATCGTCTTCATTTTTGTTGAAAACACTTTGAAAATGATTGTTCAGCCGATTTGCAATTTTTATTGGATTTGTGATAGTGATTCCTTTTAAGGCTGTTATTGTAGTTCTAACATTTTGTTTGCTATTAACATGCTTGAACAGGATCTTTGGGCTGTGCTTCGATTTTATCACTAAATCAAGTTCAAACTCACAACGAGCTTTATATATGAGCTTCTTCAATTGAATATTACGCGCTTTATATTCGTTGACTAGTTTAAGATTTTTATATCCATTCGCTCTACATCGAAACCATAGTTTATTTTTAGTTTTTATTTTATTCTTGAAGTCGTCATTCATCCATTCGCTTCTACGATGAATCCATTTTGATTTAGTCACTGGGACATAAGTTTTGCATGGAGCCTCGTAGTGGTTCAGGAAAATGTTATAACAGTCATCAGTATTGCGTCCATTGAATTCCATCTGCCAGTTGATATTGTTAAAATATTCGAATATCTTTACATAGTTACTTTTATGATAAATGCGTTTTTCAATGTGTTTTCCTACAACTGCAGCGCTTTTAACAACGTAATACCATTGAAGGACGTGGTGAGATTTCTTCAGAGACGTTAAAGGTGCATGGTGAATAATATCGAGGACCCGATTTTCATTTTCGGCTATAATTAGATCAAGAATATTGTTTGATGTAATTTCATCAAGTTGAAAAGTGGGCTTAGTAACAAATTGTATCAAAAACGACTCGGCAAGGATGTCAATAAAATTACTTGAAAGGCTATTTGTGTTGCTGATAGTTGGGATACTGCTCGAATCCCAGTTAATCCCTGGCAAATTAAAGTCTCTACAAATCAACAAGCCGCTGTATATATTAGACAGAAGTTCATTTACTTTAATAATGGACGCTTCAATATTCTCGAGTGGATCTAGTATATGCAACCCAGAAGGATGTGATCGGAACAGTACAATATTTCGCACCAAATTTATTCAGGGGAATCTAATAAAACAATTTCGCTTACTTTATTAGGTTTTAATGAAGTGTCGACATAAATAGCCACCCCACCTCCTCGACTGGAAACGGGATCTTTTCTGAATAACATATAGTTTTAATGTTAGTTATCGATGATTCATGCCACCAAGTTTCTGTAACGAAGATTATTTTAGGGTTGTATGTCTCAATTGATGCTAGAAACTCTGGCATTTTATTGTTAAGGGATGTAGCATTGGTATAACAGCATGGTATTTTATGGAAAGCTGACTGTTGTTGTAGACTAATAGTTGAAAATGACTTATGCTCTAAAGAAATTTCTTTTATATTTAAATTGTCATTATATGGTTTTAAATTACTTACTGTTGATTGCTATTTGTCTACTTTAACTACAGCATTATTACGAATAACGTAGTAATGACTTGCATTTGCCCAGTTGTTTATTAAATTAAGAGGCTCGTTTTTCTTTTTCAACTCGTCTCGGAATTGTCTATCTTGTCTTCTTTGTGCTTCTGTCAGATCTGGATTAACATAGATGCCTTCAAATTTACGCTGGGCTGCTTTAACAATATTATTTCTGGTGACAGTATAAGTCGTCTCAACTATAATAGGTGGAGGTTTATTCGGATCTTTTGACCGTAAGCGAAAACATTTGATTATATTGTCCGAATTAATTTTAACGTTGGTTAAAAGCTCTTTTATTTTGTTCTCATCGTCTACTTGCTTCTCGTTAGGTTCTTTTTTAGTCGATGCTGGAATGCCAAAGACGATAAGATTTTTGTCACGCTTCATTCTATCTTTGTTCTCATAAGCTACATAATTAGCATAACTAGCTGAGCTGGTGTTTTAGTTAATTTTTTTCCGACCACAACGTTCCATGCTTCCGTTATAGTTAAGGAAGCAATGGGTATTTCCTCAAGTTGTTGGATTCGCTTTGTGAGGGCGATGATCGTCGATGTTTGTTCAACAACTGTTTTTGATACTTGCTTTAGAAGCGTCTCATACTTGATATTCAGCTCAGAAATGTCGGCTTTTGGAGGCATTTAACGAAAATATTTAGCGTGAATATGTTTAAACAACAGTATATATAGTTTATATAATATTTAAATTATATGTATATTGATATATATATATGTATATATAAATATATATAGACATATAATAATATATTTTTATTTTTATTACGAATATAAATTTCATATAATCTATATAAATTTTTTATAAATAACTTTTATTTTTTATTTTTTATTTTTTACAATACAATAAATGCAATACTATCTCTATACGAATTTATCTAAGTGAAAACAAACAAAAAGATTAGAAAACGATAGAAAGGCAGCTTCAGAGTTTAGAATAAAAAATAAAAAGGTGCTGAAACTTTCAAAAACTCTCTAAGATAATAATACTGAATTTAAGAAAAAATAAAACCGTTAATTAAATAAATGTTTACAACAATAACATATAATAGAGGTATATAATTATGTATATACGAGTAAATATTAAGAAATAAAATACTATATTTAAATTACTCAAAAGCACGTAAGGAATATATAATAGTAAATGTAGAAAAGTAGCGAAAGTAATACTAAAAAAGTATTATTAAAAAGTAAGTAATACCAAAACTAAGTAATAGAAGTATGAGATATAGTTGATGAGATATATAAATAGAGATGAGATATATTGGAGTGAAAAAGTTGATAGCAAAATACTTATAATGCAGGAGAAAAAAAAAAAGAAGACTTACGCCAAAATAAAATACGTCTTATCTCTTCAAGTGAAACACGCGGAAAAACATACTAAAAACATTTTCTTAAAATGTGGTAACTTGCCCTTTCTAATGAAATTTATGTAGTAAAACTGTAACATGGTGTCTACTTGCGTCAGTTTAAACCCTAAGTTTTTTTTTTTTTTATTTGCATTCACTCCCAACAAGGCTGCAAGCAACCACTATTAAGTTGGGAGTTACTAGGAAAAAAAAAAGAACAGAGTTATAGAGCACGGAAACGGTTGACAGAAGACTTAAAAAGTTGAAGGTTGTATGAGTCAGGAAAACATGAAGATGGGAGAGAGTTCCAAAGGATTGAAGTGCGGGGAAAAAAACTAGATGAATAAAAGTTTTTAGAGCATGCAGGGACAGATACAGTAAACGAATGAGACTTAGCTGAATGACGAGTAAAACGAGAATGAATTTTAGTTGATGGAACTAGAGATGATAACTCCTTTGAGCAGTGACCATGATAGTATCTGTAGAAAAGAGAAAGAGATGCAACTTTACGACGATGGGAAAGAGGTTCAAGCTTAGCAGATAGTCCAGGTCCAACAACATTTACAATGCGTTTTTGGACCTTGTCAAGAAGAGAAAGTGAATCGTTAGAAGAACCGGCCCAAATATGACAACAGTATTCCATACAGGGACGAATAAGAGACTTGTAGAGGTAGAGAATGGAATCAGAAGTAAGGAAATGGCGAGCACGATAAAGAGAAGCAACCTTAGCAGAAGCTAATTTAGCAATCGATTGTATATATGGTTTCCATGAAAGGTCAGTAGTAAGCGATAATCCAAGAAGACGTAAAGAGGACGACTCAGTAAGAGGATTGCCATTCATCAATATAGGAATGTTGACCATATTACGGTAGTTGTTTGCAGTAAGCAATTGGGTTTTTTTAGAGTTGAAACTCACAAGCCACTGTGAACCCCAATCTACCACCGAAGTGAGATCAGATTCAAGATCAGCTGCTTGTTCTAGGCGATCGAAAAGAGAAGACTTTTTGTCAAGACAGGAGTATAAAGTTGAGTCATCAGCAAAAAGAGCTACTTTAGATGAAAGGTTGTCAGGAAGATCGTTTATGTAGATAAGAAACAAAACAGGGCCCAGGATGGAACCTTGGGGAACCCCAGATGTTACTGGAAATAAAGAAGAGTGTTGGCCTTCAAGGATGACTTTAATAAACCGGTCAGAAAGAAATGATTTGATAATCTCAAAAACTTTCCCAGAAACACCATATGAAGCAAGCTTATGGAGAAGACCAGCATGCCAAACTTTGTCGAAAGCTTTAGATATGTCGAGAGCAATAGCCCTAGCCTCACCGCCTCCATCTAATGCACGATAAAATCTTTCAGTTACAGCAGTTAGCAAGTCGGCCGTAGAGCGAGAGGATCGAAAACCGTATTGATTGTCTGACAGCAGTTTATTTGACTCAAGATGAGATGTGAGGAATTTGTTGATCAAAGACTCAAAGACCTTGCAAGTAACAGAAAGAAGACTAATCGGACGATAATTGGAGGGGTCAGAATTTTCTCCAGAGTTTTTGAATATTGGAACCACAGATGCCATTTTCCAACAAGCAGGAAAACAAGACTCAGTCAAACACTTGTTAAATAGTTTAGAGAGAATTGAAGAAAGTTCTGGAGAACAATTCTGCAAGACTGTGGCAGGAATGTTGTCTGGACCACAAGCTGTAGACGGTTTTAATTGAGATATGACTTTAGCAACAGAAGCCGGAGTGATTTGAATGTCTAACAATGGCTCAACCTGTTTGACTGGAATGGAAGGAAGAGAATGTCCATAAGATTCAAGAGTGGAATTAGAAGAAAAGTTCTTTGCAAACAGTTCTGCCTTATCCCTGGGAGATGTAACAAGATCAGTCCCATGAATGAGAGATGGAATGTTAGATCTACCCTTGTTAACAATGCTGTTGAAGATTTTGCAAAAGTCTTTAGAGCCTAACTTCTGCGATAAGATGCGAGATTCATTGAACTGAGAATAATGGAGTTTAGCATCAGAAAGCACCTTTTTACATCAATTTCTTGCAATAATAAATAGCCGTTTGTTCTCAAGAGAGTTGTTCTTTTGAAAAAGATGAAAAAAATGGTTACGATTGGATATAGCAGCCGCACAAGAAGGAGAAAATCATGGAGTAGAGTGAGGCTTGACTTGAAACCTACGAGAAGGAATAAAAGCTTCCATTCCAGCCTGAATCCAGGAGGTTACGTAGGAGGCGCATTTGTCAGCTGAGAGAGAAAAAACATTAGCCCAAGGACCATCACGAAGAAAATCACGAAAGGAATCCCAATCAGCTTTAGGGTAGTAGTAGGTGGTGCGATGATAAGGTGAGCCCAAAAAAGAAGTACGAGAAGAAAGATTTATAGAGATCATTGCATGGTGAGAACCACCTAAGGGAAAAAAAAAGGGAGAAACTGAACATAAGCTAGGGTCAGAGACAAGACATAAGTCAAGGAGTGAAGGTAAATGATTAGGGTTGTCAGGAAAACGAGTCACAAAGTTAACTATCTGAGTAAGAGATTGAGAAACGCAGAAGTTAAAGGCTTTAGTGCCAGCAGGATCAGTAGTGTTAGAGCCAAGCCATTCAGTGTGATGGGCATTAAAATCACCAACAACAACAATATTGGCAGAGGGGTAAAGAGAGAGGGCATGGTCAATTTGATCAGAGGTAACATCTAAAAGAGTGCAATCATGGGAAGAAGGAGAACGATAAAGAACAAAGAGAAAGGTGATAGAGTGAAGAGGTGCTAGGCGAAAGCACATAAAAGAATGGTCAAAGGATTCGAACCTGATTTCACGACAAATAGGGGAATTAATGCGTATGCATACCCCTAAACCTAGCATGTGACTATTGGAGTCTTTACGAATCAAAGGATAGTACCCATCAACACCGACATCCGAAGAAGGAATTGCAGAACTTAAATTTGTTTCACTGAGTGCAAGCAAGTCTGGTGAATTTTGCAGGAGGTAAGACTCAACTGATGGAAAGTTGCTTCGTAGACCGCGAATATTTGTAAAAGATATATTAAAATATTTAGGTGGTGGGAATGGTTTTTTAGGTTTTAAATTTTTGGTTACTTTGGTCATGATTTGGGTTTAATGAGAACTTGACTCATTCATAGATAGAGCACAGCCTCCTAATCAATGAGCTATGCAGTTGTCTCAGTCCTGTTAATTAACCCTAAGCCGTGACATAGGGCTCCTTATGTGGCCTTGGCAATGCACACCAAAAGCATTAACAGGGACACCATCCATGCGCAACATGGCACTGTTAATACTCTGATATTTTGCAGCTGTTGATGGAATCAGCCTCTCTGAGAGCTACCACAGAGTTCGGGAAACCTTACTACCAGCCGGCCTCAGAACCATTAAACTGAGTTTTAGAGCTGTACCCTCATATGGAGATAACAGGAAGAGTTGCATAGCCATTATCAAGGAGGCATAAGCAAAATTCTATGAGTAGAGTCAAGGAGATCCAGCATTCATCATCCTAGGCAGGAAACAATGTAACACAGGTTACATCTACGCCAGCCTAATAGATGAAGAAGGGGTTCGAGGCTGGTTAGCAGAATTTTTCTGCTTACCCCTAAAGTCTTTGCCTAGGAGGCCTTCTACAAGACAGTAGCAGGATGCATTTAACATCTGCCCAAGATGAGTATTTTTATCGAGACACCATCTCTAGCCTTTACTCAACCAAGAGCCCCAAGGCAGGGGATGTTTAGATGGATGCAGTTAACATCTGCCCAAGATGAGTGTTTTTATCAAGACACCATCTCTAGCCTTTACTCAACCAAGAGCCCCAAGGCAGGGGAATTTTTAGTCGGAGTTTATTTCTCCTAGCCTTTGCATAAGAAGAGCACACATTGCAAGGCAGCAGGGCTTATGGTAGGTGGTACTGGGTTACGTGATACCAGTAGCAAGATTGATCTTGATTATCCTGACCTGACCTGGAGTAGTTAAAAAGAGCTACTTCCCGCAACAGTACTTTGAGAAAACCAGGCATGACAT